TTCCCTCCTTTCTGCCTTCGCATCAACCCCATTCTTTACCACCGGCGAGACCATCCAGTTGTATTATGAAACTTAGTATTTGATACTCTTCCAACATGTATGGAAAAGTCATTTGGTCAAATGTCTTCCATTTTTTTCCCGATTTGATAATTTTCTAGAAAAGACTTTGCACTCGGTGATCATTCGAGAGAATTAAAGTTATTCCGTGTCTTTCCCTTGTTTAACCTCATTTTTAAAAATTATCTCTTTTATCCAAAGTCGCCTTAAGTCTTCATGCTTCGACGTGCGGGCCCGAAGACAAGTTTAATGTGTTGCCCCAAATCCGGAGATATTTTCTTCTTCAAGCTGAGCCTAAATCACAATGTCACCCACATCTATACAACTCGCCAGCATACCGAATGAACAGGGCGAAAAATCTTACTTACAAGATCTTGCGATCCTTACCAAGATACTAAATTTCTCCTCAATTCGAATCTGTGGGAGAGATGAGTCGGAAAAGCAAACTCTGCTGCTGATAGTCCTGAAGTGAAAGTATAACGTCGTAGAAAGATTAAACGTTGCTTGTTTACGTTTTTTGAGAATTTATAGCCCTACCTTCCAAACAAATGTTGTTATTCTGGATAAATGTTGTTTTAATTTTTATTCCGTTTGAAAGGGCGAGTGGGTGTTATTCATAATTTGCATCAACTACACTCATATGTAGGCATCAAAAGTAAGTATGAAATAAATTCGAAGAGTAACTGGGTTGACAAATCTCTCAAGATAACATTGTTGGGGAGACTTCGATTTGGTATGAAAGTGCGTGATAAAAATATTCGAATATTGATCTCACCAGAAGACTACGGATGATTCCAACAAAGTATGAAGTAACTAACCAAATCATGAGATGCCCCATAAAGTATGTGGCACGACTCTCCATTTCGCAGGAAATGTTGGTTGGAAGGAATTCGTTTTGTGGTCTCATCGGAAGCCGAAGCAGGATTGTCGCGTAGGGAAAACTGTTGAATTGTGCGAAGAAGTCTTTGGCTCACCGTCCTACAACCCCGATGAAACTGTACCGTGACAGGCATCATCAGAGCAGGTATCCATACTTCACGGACTAGAGCAAAAATATACTAAACCAAGAAAAGAAGGTGGCGGATGTAAACCTAGTCGCTTTTTATACATCTAACATCGCGATCTTAATGAGGTATCCCATGATTTGTTTGGCTACTTCAACCTAACTCTACATGGAAGATATGAAGACCAAGATGTTGTAGCCTCTGGTATGTTCGCAGTCTCCTTCCGATGTATCGAAGTGGGCTGACCTCATTGTCGCAACTTGGTCTTGTTGTCAGGGCAACTTAGTAGAACGCACCTAGTCCGAAGTGGTCTGTCATAGTTATGCCTAAAATGGTTACGCTATCACTCCTCCTTCTTGTCTCGGACGCGTTCGTAGCTTGGTGTGGACAATGGCGAAACTCACTGACGATGCCGACTAGGATGCCGGCGAAACGTTTGAGAATATACCAAGTCCACTGTCTGATTCTGGGAATCATGACAACTACTATGACAGACGACTTCGGACTAGTTGCGTTCTACTAAGTCGCCCTGACAACAAGACCAAGTTGCGATAACGAGATCAACCCACTTCTTACTCTACATGTTTGCAAATGAATAAAGTTAACTTCCCGAACCGGAAGTGCGTCGGATGGCAGCTGTTTCATCACACACAAAAACTAGGGTACAATCGCCTAATGCTGAATCATGTTTGGGCTTGTGATATTGTCTAGTGTTTTTATGTAATGTTCATGCCATGGGCAGTGTGATAGTCTTAGCTAATCCAGCCTCCTCTTTCTCAGTGGTTTTTCTTGCACCCTTTCTCCCTCCCTTTAATTAAGTCTATTCAACAGCCACAAATAGTCATCGAGGTCGCGAGACAGTCGTACAATTCATCAGACAAAAGTCCAAGGTAACCCTCCTGTGATATCCGGTGAGTCCAATCTACGAGTCCCTTCGACCCGCCTTCTCAAACGAAATTAAGGGTACGCCAGTAGCCACAAAGAATTTTATTCAGTTTTCTGCACTCGTACTCCTATTCAGGACTTTGGCTGTTTTGTTAATTTCTGCCGACTCCCTAATCGTATGCTTTGACGTTAATTCCCCGTAACCCGCAATACGTTGTGTTCTGGACCAGTCTATTGAGTGTCCTGTATTGGCAAAATGTGTTCAACGAGCTCAGATTTTTGGACCCATAGACCTTTATAAGCGGTTTTGTGTTCGCATAGTCTCTTGTGAATGAGTTGGCCGAGCCACATGAGCACAAAACCTTGTAACAGCATGTTCTAGAAAGAGGGTCCATATATACTCTAAACGAAGGAACTACTGAAGAAAGTCTCAATTTCTCTTTATACATTGTTTTCATGTTCCACTTCCTCAGTAGATTATCCAACTTTTTCGCAAGCTGGTATGGAGGAATTTGTAGTGTGGTCTCCCTATTCTACTGGATCATTCTACTCGTTTCCTGAACTTGCCTGTGGAAAAGTTGGGTGATCTAGTGAAGAAATGGAACATAAAAACAATTTATAAAGAGAAATTAACACTTTATTCAGTAGTTCGTTCTTTTAGAGAACATTCAAACCCTCTTTCTATAATAGGCTTCTACAAAGTTTTGTCCTCATGTACGCTCAAAAATGTACATATACAAACAAATGGTTTTGGCAAGATAATGAAATAACCGAATAATTCTTTACCTCTAAACAGTCGGTGATCTTAATTGAGAAATTTTAACGAGACCTTCAGACTCCTTTGGTTTTTATAAAAACATGTTTATGTTTCGTGTTGTCTTCCTCTTCATTTCGTTTGAAATTGAGGTTTGAGGGTATTGGAAACTATGTCTCATCTGAAACTAGGAGAAACTCACTTTTTATCAGAATCTGATGCTGATTAATTTTCCTCTCTTTTGTAGCTCGAGTATATTTTTTTAACCACTTACAACTTGCAGCGAGTCAAATTAGGAAGTCTTCTAGTCAAACTGATACTTTGGCGGCAAATTCACATTAAATAAGCATAATTTAAATAATGGCATTTCTTAAGATTAACCTGGATTTCGTATAATCCTTTAGCGGTTTATTGTGACTCGACATTTCCGATGGTACTAATTCAACAATTCCTTCCAACCAAATTTAGCTTCGATTTCTGGAATGATCGTACATCGATGGTTTTGTCCCACTATCGAGCACTTCAATCAGACCAAGTCTGAGTCTGGCAGGCGAGATGGTGATGGAGCTTCGAGTCAGATGCCGACGTCTTCTATCGGCCAGACCAACTGATTCTCGAGCAAACAGGTGATTGAGTGCAGGCACAACAAGACAGTGCATAGTTGCCGTCCTCCTCAGCATGGTCAGAAAGTCTGTTTATGTGAGTGCAAAAGAATAGGAAGAAGAGGCGTCCAAAGATGGGAGAGTGAGAGCCATAATTAGCCTGCCACAGAATTCCCTTGCACGCACCGTGTATGATTTTTCGCCCCGTAGAGCCGGTTCTCCTGTCGTCCACGCAGTGTTTTTGTGTCGTTACACATCTCAGCAACCGTGAGAATGACCAAGCCTGTTGATGCTCCTGTCGCCATAATCGTCCACTCAACAGCAGTCTGTTAATCTGCTCTGCAGAGGTCTGTCAATCGTCCTCAATTGCCTTTGGCCTACATACACACACACACACAC